GCCCGCGCAAGTTGTCTCCAGAGCCTCGTAGTGGCTTTCCAGGTCTATCGTGGGAGGAAGGCGAGGTGGAGGAGGAAGAAGAGGAGCATGAGGAAGCGGATGTGATAGGGGGAAGGAGGAGGACCAGGAGGCTCAGGCGCAGGAACAGACAGAAGGGGGAGAAGGAGGAGGAACAGAAAAAAGGACGAGGATAAGGGGACGCTGTTTGCGGACATCTTGCTGCTGAAGCCTTTGACGGCGTCTTGTCCATCCTAGGGAATATTGCGGGGCAATTCGGCCTCCTTGTGGGGCCCGTGTGGGGTTCCTTCGAGATGTATGTTTACCAGCGCTCACCATTGCCACCCCTAGGTCGGTGTTCTCCCGTGTGGCGATGTTGTTCAGACACGCCAGATTTCTGAGGCCGCGGCCTTGCCCACCTGGTCTTAGCTAGGCCCCGACGGTGCCCTACTGTCCGCAGCGGTGGTCGTATCGTATCGTATCGTATCCCCCGTGTGGCAATGGTGTTGTCCACGTTCAGCGCAGGGCCCTCTGCGCCCCCTTCCTTGCACCTTGAGGTCGCTCTGACCCTTTTCGCCAGCTCCACCAATGGCCTTTCCCACACCAGGGCCCCACGGCCAGCTTCATCTCAGAGAACACCAGCTGGCCCTTGAGGCTGCTGACCCTCTTCTCCTCCTCAATCGTGGCTCTCACGGCCAGCTCCCGCTGACTGGGGAGGGCACCTCCCTCTGTGTTCGTCACCTCCACCGCGCCTTCAGGCCCATGAGGGGCTCCGCGGAGCTTTCCGAACTCGCCGTCCCTGCGCTGGTTCTTGACGGGCACCATGCCGTCGTCGACCTCCAGCTCCGCATGCATCTTGGCGGCGCACCTCCTCCGACCGCGCTCGTTCTCCGTGCAGTTCTTTCACCAGGGAGGTGTTTCAAGGCATTCGGCTCCCCCTCTCCCGGTGGTCGCCCGCTGCGGCCTCGTGGCTACCAAGCACGCTGGGGGTCGTGCCCGTTTTTGTTATCGCCCTGCGTCGGCGATTACAGAGGGTCGGGCTACACCAGCACAAGGAGGGGATATGCAAGATGATCGCGAAGGGTCTGGCCAGGCATCACCATCCCCAAGAACCAGATCCAGGCTTGGTTCGACTTATGGGTAGCGCGATCAGACCTTCGAGCAGGAGTACGTCGAGCATGGCCAAGGATGAGAAGGAGGCTACTGGAGGTGGACCCACACAGGAGGTGGAACCAGAGGCGAGGGGTCATCGCGTCGCTCATCCTACAGCTCTGGGAGATCAACTGGGACGCGCTCTCAGCGGACTTTTGGACAGACGCGGAAGGAGGAGGTTGGCAATTACAACCCGATGAAGGAAATGACGACCCCACAGAGTCGCTGGACGCGATCACGGAGGACTTGGAGAGGAAGCTCTGGGAGAACGCCAGTAGGCACCGCAACGGGACAGGCCTTCAACACGGAGCGAACACCTACGACCTGAAGATGAATCTGAGGAGGCTTAAAAAGCTGGCAAGGTCCAGCAGCACGGGGCCCTCGTGACAGAGGCATGCTCGGGGATATGGGCACCATGCAGGCGCAGGGAGGCGTTCGGAGACAGCGTGACGGACAGACGCCAGTGCGGTGAGATCGCAGACGACTTCCACATCATTTGGGGCCAGTGCAGCTGCAGGAGCGACCACAGCATCTACAGGAAGACCGATGACCGGATCAGTAGGGCACAACAAGGCAAGGAGGAATGGACCGCGTTCTGGCTGCGAGGTATCTCATCAAAGGCATGGACGTCACCACCGGCATGCACAATGGAACATTCAGCCACGAGGAAGGGGAGAGCAGCGGGCATAGACAGCAACGCGGAGGACAGCAATATCCACTTCGAGAATACCGACGAGGTGATCATATTCGGAGACGGAAGCGGTGGAGCCCAAGGAGATGACCCAAAGGTACAGGCGATGTGGCTGGGGTTGTGTCCTGGTGGAGCGGCAGCTAGGGCAATGAACCTCCACGGCAGAATGTTCTGGACCATTGGAGGGGCCAAGGCCGTCGAACAACAGGGCGGGGATCACAGCAGTTATGGACGCAGTGCAGCCGAGACAGGAAACAGCATAGCAGATGAGATCGCGGCGGAGGCGGCGGCGAAGCACGAGATCTCGAAAGTGCAGATGGTTTGCTACAAGTGGGCGCGAGCAGCGGGGCAGTTGGTCAGAGCCAGGATCACGCAGGCGACGATGGAGTTGCCCGAGAGGACCAAGCCGATGACCTGGGGCGAGAAGGACGAGTCAAGAACTGCGAGAGCGAAACAAGCGAAGCCGAAGACCACGTTCGACCAGCTGCTGGAGGAGACACCGCACAAATTGACAAGATCCAAGCCACGTGGACATGCCAGAGGCGCCTGCAATCCATCGGGGTGCGACAAAGATCAATGACGGCGAGGTGGTGGCTCCAGCGTTGTGAACAGGACCCAAGGAATGAGCATGTCGTTGCAGCCGAAAAGCGGCCGCCGCAAACTGAAGAGCGAGCTCGTGTTGATCGGCAAGATAGCGCATCACACGCACCACGTCAACTGGAGCTGGCGTCGCGAGAAGTACTTCTGCTGGGAATGCGGCGCGACAGCGACAGCCCACCTGAGCAAGAGGATGCCCGGAGGCATATACGGGAGCTCCGCCAGGCCGCGCCATGCAGTACGCCTTGCGGGCACTACGGAGTTCCCGAGAAGCGAATGGCGAGAACAGGAAGTACGTGAAGAGGAGGAGGCCAGCCCACCGCCGTGGACGACAACGAGCGGAGCTGGCCTTGAGCACGGCAACCTGAGAGACGACGGCGCCAAGGAGCAGGTGATATACAACTCGAACCACCTGGATTCCTGAGTGTTGGCTGTCAGCTGCGCCGCTATCCAGTTTGCAGACTGCTGGCAAGATCTAGAACATTACAGAGTGTTTGGTTACGTTGGGGTGAGATGTGCGATCTGCGTCGTTGGGGCGCGGCGGAGAATTTTGTCGAGACCCTCGCCCGCCCTCCGGGGTGCGCGTTGCAAACCACGCGCTTTTCAAGCCACGCCCTTCGCAGTCGCCGCATCCACACCCTCACAAACACATGTCGCGCTCCGCGGCTTACTTCCACCGTGGCACGCAGGACGGGCCTGATGTCCGTGAGCGACTTGTGCGCACCATGCCGCGTTGGCGTCTCCCGAGGCGCCGTCGATCCTCGACTTGGGAATGCACGGTGCTGCGGCCTCCAGAGGCGTCGAATTGTGCACCGCACCGTGCTGGAGCGGGGCGCGAAGGAAGCCCAGACATAGTGCGGTGCAAAGGCGCCTTTCTTATATGATGCGCACCGTGTGCGCCTCCACCCCCGCGTCGATCGCCATACCCTCCTCCAGAGCGTCCCAGAGCCGGAGCACCTGGAGTAAGACTCGGACGTGGAGCTCTTCGGCAAGTGCGGCGAGGCGGTGCCCCCGGTCGCGGGCACCCCCTCGTGCTCTGCTCGTCTTGACGCTTCGCAGGTCGAGGGTGGTTCCAGGTGACGGAAGTGGTTTACATATGCCTCTTTGATCCCCGCTCCCTCCTCCTCCTCCCCCTCCCCCCAAACCTCCTCCCCCCCCTCCTCCTCCTCCTCCTCCTCCTCCTCCTCCTCCTCCTCCTCCTCCTCCTCCTTCCATTCGCGAGACCCCTGCCGCTTGTCACGTCGCCCATCGATCCCCCCTCCTTCCTCTTTGGCTGCCACTTTTGCTCTAGACTGGGATTCCCCTGGGCGCAGCCTCCTACCTCGCTCCCTCATTTTATGCTCCCGATTGGATCCCCCCTCATACCTCGTCTTTGACTGCCACTTCTGCTCCAGATTGGTTCTATCCCTGTCAGGTCGGATGTCCACTCTCGTCCCTGCGGTTTTTCCTTTACAGTCGGGCGAGGTAGAATATCGAGGTCGGTTCGGGTAGGGTGCTGTAGTGTTCTCCGTGTTTGTTGGGTGCTCTTGGGTAATTGGGGACGGTACCCTTGGATATTGTGTGTGTGTCTTGGCCAGCGGAGGGTCTCGCGTTTTTGAGGGATGCTCGTCTGGCCTAATCCGATGGTGCTTCGCTTAGAAAATCAGCCCAGTCCCCCCCTTCCACCGGATAACCACCTGCGTCTGCCTGGTCTGAGGGCGACCGCCGTGGCGGCCGCCGCCTGCCACGAGCCGCAAGGGGCCGCGCGACATCGCTGAGGAGCGCCACCGCCATCGCGCGGGCCACGGTGTCGCGGCCAGCTTGAGAGGCAAGCGCGCCAGGCTTCCTTTTGAACGGCGCTGATGTCACCATCGGACTCCGTCGCATGTCGTAGCGCCTGGGTGAGGGGGGGGATCGCATGGCGCCGACTCTCGTCGGGGCCTTGGGCCAAAATAGTCGCATGGACGGCGCTCGCATGTCCTCGAGCCGACATGCCTGCGAAGGAGAAGATGGAGGCAATAGCAACGGGACAGGGGCAACAGTCCGATCACTGCGCCCCGCCGCCGTAGCGGCAGTGCAGGCGACAAGGAGCCCGAGGGTCCCTCCAGACAGGTGCGCCCTGGCAAGAGCCTTCCCAGGAGGGGAGTGCCGTGGCCAAGGCCCCACCACCCCCGCGGGCACGGAGACCGACGGGCAACAGCTGCCGAGGCCGCCCCCGGGAACCCCGCGGGCCCGAATGGAGCAGCCCCCAGGCCACCGCCAGACGACACCAGCATTCCGAACCGAGCCCACGCAGCTACGCATAGCCCCTCGCCCCAGGCGGCTGGCACTGGCCGTCTGAGTTCAGAAGCACTCCAGCGCAAACCTCACGTCCGCTCCTCGTCTACTTGTTCTTATTTATCATAATCCGTATTCTTATTATTATTGACATTATTACTGTTATTATGATTGTTATTATTGTTATTTTTATTATTACTAGTATCATCATTCGTCGTCCTCTTATGGTTATTATGTTTTTTCATTGTGTTTGTTTTTCGTTCTCTTATTTCCCTGGATCTTCGACTGCCTGGCGAGGGTGGAAGGCATGTCCTCCGAGGAGCACCCAGACCGCTCCGTCACCTCCGCCAGCGCGGCCTCGTGCTCTTCGGAGCCTGGCCCGAGGCCGTCGACGGCCTGCAGGACTTGATCCACGAAGCCGCCCTCAGCGTCAGCGATGACGATCGGCTCCTCGACGCCGCCTTCCGCGAGCTGCACCGTCGGCCCCCCCACAGCAGCAGCCAACTTCGGCACCTCAATGCACCCCCACGGTTGTCTCGAGCACACTCGGCACCCCGGTGCTATCTGCCACGAGCTGCACCACCAGCACTTCCACCGTCGTCTCAATAGCGCACGGCACCGCGGCGTTGCCTTCCACAGGCTGCACCGCAGGCACCTCCACGTTCGGCACCCTGGCGCTGCTATCCACGAGCTGCACCGTGAGCTTCTCCTCCCAGTGACTCTTCTCCTCGCACTGCGCCTCGGCGCTGCCCGCCAAGATCTGCACTATCAGCACCTCCGCGGTCTTCTCGATGTTCGGCACCTCGACGCTGCCCTCGGCGTGCGGCGCCGTCGGCCCGCCAGCATGGGGAAGATGACGGCGGGACACACGAACGTCTGGCTCTCGTTCCCTTGCTCATCCGCCTCCGCGCCACGCTCTCCTCCAGCGCCCCGAGGTGCGCCAGCAGGGTGCACACCTCCTTCGCCTGGAAGGCCGCCACGACGACGCACTCCAGCGCCCCGCGGAGCCTCTCCAGCGTCGCTGCCAGGAAGACCGCCTCCACGACAGTCTCCAGCAACCTGTGGAGCGTCTCCGGTCTTTGGATATCCGCTGCCACGACTGTGGGCTCGGTCACCTCGGCCAAGGCCGCAGGCAGCGCCCCAGTCTTGCCCAACTTCGGCACCACGACGCCGCTCTCGACGTGCTGCGCCGCCTCGTCGTCCTGCTCGTCCACGTCCACCTCCAGGATGGGCGACAGGATCCCGATGAAGAACGAACCCTGCTCGGCACCAGTGCGCTGCCGAGCCTGCTCGGCGGTCCGCCGAGCCTCGCTGCTGCCCCCGTCCTCCGCCTCCCCAGCGAAGAAGCGGGTCGGCGATGAGGTTTGAGTGCTCTTCGAGCTCGAAGTCGCCGCGGCGGGCGAGAATGAGCGGCGGCGCGCTTGTTCGGTTTATCTTTGTTTTGATTATGGTTCGCCGCCGCTGGCCGCTCTGAAGAACGCGACGGTCGGCCTCAGGCCCTCGGGGGCACGGCCTGGGCCCAGAACGGTTGAGGAGGAGGAGGAGGAGGAGGAGGGACAAGGGCGAGGGATGCGCGAAGCCCTCCCTTGCGACCCCCCGTGATGTCCCCGTCCCCTGTCGTCGCGCTCGTCTGCTCTACCAGCGGCTGGACCGAACCGTTTCCTCGATGCCCCCCTCCGTGCCCGCCTCGATGGTATGTGCGGGGAAGGGGGGGGAGGGGGGCGACGGCTGCACCTTTCCAGGGGACAGAGGCTGCCAGTTCTGAGTGGTAAGTTCAGAGGAGGAGGGGGAAGGAGACTCGCACCGCGTCAATCCTCGGCCCTCGGGAAGCCTACGAAGGCGAGCTCTCGACCAGGGGTGGGTTGATGGCCGGTTGGGGCCCCGCGGAGTTTCAGCGTTGTCGGCCAGACTTGGGTTGGCAAGGGACGCTAGAACAGCGGGCTGTGGGAACGGAACGTCTCGCAGCATCTCGTCGCGAGGGGAGCGAAGCGATTGGAGGCTCGGATTCTGACTCTCGTTCGAGTTGATTTGTTCTGGGAGTTCGGCATTGAAGAGCTGCCCGTTCCAGCGCGGGACGAAGGACGAATGGGAGAGGTTGGGGGTTGGAGAAAGAGGAAAATGGATGCGGAGGAGAAGGGGAAGGCCAGCGGCAGGAGGGGGACGAGTGAGGAGAGACAAGGAGGGGGAGGAGGAGGAGGAGGAGGAGGAGGAGGAGGAGGAGGAGGAGGACAATGGAGGACGAGGGTGGACGAGGGAGCACCGCGCGCCCGCGCCCGCGAGCAGGCTCTTCTGCCCGCCGTGGCCCTGCTGGCCAGCGCGTGCCTCTTCGGCGCCCGCCTGGCGTTCCTGCCTGCGGCCGGGGCGGCGCCGCGGCAGCACGAGGCCACCGATCCGTCGGAGGCGTCTGCAGGGCTTGGCATCGCTCGGACGTGTACACCTGTTCTCGGCAGAGGCCCTCGAGGAGCATTCAAGTGGGGTCCTCCTGCGGACAAAACATATGCACGCAGGAAGCCGAAACGTGCATGAGGAATGAACGTTCGAGCGATGGCGAGGGGGGCGAATAGCCCGGGGACAGGCATTACACGTATTTGCCCTGGAGCCTCCCCGAAGACATGGACCATCGGCGCTTTTTGTACGCGTATTGTTGTCCCTATGGGCTATCCGCTTTTCATCAGGAGCGAAGGGACGACGCACATGTACATGAATCCACTTTGGCTTCGAGAGTGCGAATTTGTGCGAATGTTTGTAGCGCAAGGCTGGCTTCGTGGATTGGGGACCATGTTCATGTACGCGGCTTGGTGCGCACGTCCGTCGTGGATTTCTGAATACAGGGCCCACATCGATCCGATCGGTTTGATTCGATGTCGGTTCCAGCGGGCCTGATCCGATTCGATCCCGATGTTCCGACGATCCGATTCTGCCCGATGCTTGCATGGCGCTGTTGTTCATCCTGGCGCAGCCGATCCGATTCGATTTCGACTCCGTGCCGATGCAGCCCGATCCGCTTATTTTCATTCGATCCGATGCATCATGATTCGATGCTACTGGTTCTGCCGCTCGGAGGTCGGATGTTGCCAGATAGGTGTCCCTGGCCGAAGGTATCCCCACAAATTCCAAGTCGCTCGTCGTCGACAGACGAGCTCTCTTGCGTTGTCCCCAGTTCCTCGAGGTTTCGCTTCCTCGGGACGCGTTCAGCGAGAACCCCCTGGCACCCTAAGGAGGAGGGCGGCACAATGAAAACTTGTTCCGCAAGAACCTCCACCAGCGCCACATGGCTGCCAGGGCTCCAGGCTCGTGCTGGGGAGAGTTGTTCGAAGTTTCCGACGCCTCTTGGATGTTCCTCGTCGGTGTTTTTGGGTCTTGCGGTGTCTTGCAGCAGCCTGGGGCCGGTGTGCCTGGATCGCCCCGAATGGCCGCCACAAACCCGAGGCATGACCCGAAAGCCAGACGAAGAGGATCACTGGCTCGGAGCACCCCTGACGAGGCCAAGAGGGCCCCCGGACCGCGGACACCTTCCCGGCAGCCCACGAAAGGGGTGGCTCAGGAGGCCTCCAAGAAACACAAAGGGGGGGGGGGAGAGGGCTTCTCAGGAGTGCCCTTCTGGGACGCCCCGGGCGCCAACCTCCTCGTGCGCGCCGCCAGCATCACGCGAGGCCGTGTCCCTCAGCCCGGGTGGCCTTTTGGCCCGCGGTTTCGGGGGGCGCCTGGGGGGCAGGTCCGAGCCGTGCAGAGCGCTGCCGCCGCCTCGCACGCCACGACCGGCAGGCCCTGGGGTAACCTCGGCGCGTGTAGGCCGTGTAGCCGACCCACAGAGGAGCAACAGTGGTCTTGCTTCGAGGGATCCCCACCCGAGAGTGCGAGGCGGGACCTCCAGGGAACATAGGGCCCCTTCGGGCCTGGCGGCCGCGGCGTGCAGTCGTCATACTTCGGTCGGGGGAGCGTGAGACCCGGGTTTGCCAGGACTCGGGTTCGCCATCGTTTTTTGACGACCGCGCCTCGGATTTTGACGAGGAGGAGTTTCGTGGGATGTCTGCAGCGGGAGGCCTCGTCAAAATGCAGGCTCGGCCTCGTCATTTGTTTGACGACCTCGTCGGGGATTTCCGAGTCCCCTGTACCCAGGTTTTACGTCCCCCTGATTCGGAGACGCCAGGCGGGATACCCAGGGAGCGCGGGCACATCTGGGGCCTGGCGGCCGCGAAATGCAGGATGTGCGAGGCGGGGTTGGGGCCCGTTTCTGCAAGTCCAACAACCTCGACCTGTCGGGTGGGGGTTCACACCTGAGCAGCACTTTCTGGAGGTTCGCGCAGATCTCTTGTGGCGGCGCTGGGTCCCACGGCACTCCTGACGGCGCCTCTGGCGCCGCCCTTGGCGCGCAGAACGAGCCGGGGAGGAGGTGTGGAGGAGGGAGGTCCAGCGCCGAGACAAGCGACACGCGCGGACCTCCGAAATTTCGTGCTCATCAATTTGTTGCAACCCAGCTGCACGTGGTAGACCCCGACACCGTGCCTTTCCCCTTCGCAACAGCGCAGCAGGAAGGAGACTGAGTGCAGGAACAGCACGATTCCGACAGCTGGTCTAAACTGGGACGGGTCGTGAATTCGACCTCGTCTTAGTCCGAGGTCGAGTTCACGCCCTGCTGCAGTTCAGCGATCGGCCGGAACTCAGGCGTGTCGTGAACTTGACCTCATCCTCGTCCGCGCGGTAGGGGGGAGGGTGAGCTAACGTCCCGCTGCAGTTCAGCAATCGGTCTGAATTGAGGCGTGTCACGGACGTGGCCTCATCTTCGTCCGCGCGGTAGGGGGAAGAGCCAGTTCGTGCCCCGCTGCAGTTCAGCGAGCGGTCTGAATTGAGACGTACCGTCAACTTGGACTCATCCTCGTCCGCGCGGTAGGGAGGTGGATGAGGAATGGGAGGAGGAGGAGGAGGAGGAGCTGGAGGAGCTGGAGGAGCTGGAGGAGAAGGAGTAAGAGGATATGGAAAACATCAAGACAAGGAGGAGAAGGCGTCTAGGGGCTCTCAATGGGCCTCCTGGGGACCTCTTTGGGGCTTCTTGGGGGCCTCTTGGGCTCTTGGGCTGTCTCAGGGGGCTCTTGGCTCGTCTGACGCCTTCGGAGACAGTCTTGAGGGCCTCTGTGGGCCGTAATGTTGCCCTCAAGGAGCGCCTTAGGGACCTCAAATAACTCTTGGGCGATGATTGAGTCCTCTTGGGCTGACTTGGGGCAATCTGGGGGCCTCGTGGGCTGTCTTAGAGCTATGCATGAGGCATCTTGGGTCGTCTTGGGCGGTCTGAAGTCCGAACACGTGGGACCCTCAACAACTTGCAGACACCTGATGCAAGCCATTCCTTTTCGTCTCCTTGGGCTCTCCGGGAGGGCCTCTCGGAGCCCTCTTGGGCTGTCGTGTGAGCCTTTTGAGCTATCTTGAGGCCGTCTTGACAGCCTCTTGAGCCGTTTTGGGCCATCTTGGGCCGTTTCGGAGTCATCTTCGCTATATTGGAACCCATGTTTTGGGACCATCTTGGCCGCCTGGAGTTCGACAAGAGAGCCCGAGAGCAAATGCAGAGGGGACTGTTTCTAACGCGCGCGGGGCGCGAGCAGGCGGCCCTATACCACAAAGCCGGGCAACACACGCGCATTCTAACACGCCCGCTCTGTGCAGGTACGGAAGCCGATTGCGCTCCATCTTCCGCCTATAATTACGCCGCACCGCCAGCCTTGTTCACGAGGGCAGGCGCCCTGCGTTGCTCATGCGCGCGGCGAGGTGGACCGAGCAGCAGAACTGAACTGTCAGGAGGGGAGAAATGGTCCCGGCAAAGCAACCTAACAGCGATGTGTAAAAGCATAGCTGAAAGCATTGCCTATGGTATTCATGTAGGAGTGCTGGTGTAGATTTTTTTTTGTTCTCGCAGTCGCATTCGGATTCGCAGTGGCAGTCGCAGTGGCAACATCAGTCCCAGTCGCAGTCGCAATGGCATTACCAGTAGTTGCAGTAGCAATACCTACAGGAGCAGCAGCAGCAACAGCAGCAACAGCAACAGTAGCAGTAGCAGTAAAAGTCGCAGTGACGGTAGTGGGTGCAGTGAAATAGTACCAACTACGCACTGCCCTCAATGGGTGTATATTCGAAGGATCATTTACTTTCGATAATTGTATGTCGAAACGAGACCCCGCTAGCAGTGGACATAGGTCCGAACGAGACACTGCTATCAACGGATGTAGCTCCAAACGAGACACCGTGTTCAATGGATGCACTATGGAACGAACAACTGTTTTCGGTAAGTGTGTCTTCGCACGAAATGCTTCTATCAATGGATTCAGGCCCAAACGAGACACTGCTATCAATGGGTGCACGTCCAAACGAGACAGTTCCATGAATGATTTTAGTCTGGAGCGAGACACTGCTATCAATATTGGAGTTGCGTGCAAATGGGACACTGCCGCTTCAGGGGCTCGCCGGCAGCCGCGGCAGCACCTTGGGCACGCTTTTCCGCACCCACTGTAGCACGTTAGCCTTGAGCGCAAACAAAAATTGCGTGCAGGTGCTCTCAAGAGGAATGGCAGGCTGAGAAGCACTGCGGGCCACAGAGAGTAATCTTGCACAGGCGTCCACAACAGCGGCTGCTGCGGGCTGAGAAGCACCGCAGGCGAACGCAAATCAGCGGAGGCTGGAAAACGATATGCTTGAGGCAAACATCGCTGGCAGCCCGCAAGGCGAATGCGAATTCACCGAGCAAGCAGCGAAGAAGCGGGCGGCACGTGATGTGTAGGAAACTGAGAAGCAACGCTGACAAGACATCAGCAACTCATTTCGTTAAGGTTCCCCTTCTTCCCCGTCGGGGAGGGGTTACGCAGAAAGCTCCAGGAGGGCCCCAAGAGGGTCCGAAGATCTCCCTCTCTCCCCCCAAGAGTTCCGAGAGGAGCCGAATACCCTCCAGTAGGGCTCGCAGAGGACCACCCTGCTCTCCTTGTCCATGTTGTTTCAAAGTATGTATTTATTTTTGCCATGTCCCGTCACGCTTCCTGGGCACAGCTTCAGAATGGACTGGCGGTGTTATGAGAAGCGCAGAGGAGGAGGACAGAGGAGACGAGTATGGAGGCATCGGACTCAAAGGCGTGTGTCTTGGTACTGGCAGCTGTACCCCTCCACAGCGATCAGTTTTATGATCGCTTCGAGCTCGCAGCAGGCGCCTGCCCGTTCGACTAGGCGAAGTGAAACGTGAAACGTGAAAAGTGTCAAGTGGCGAGCTTCGCAGGGTCACTACCCACGGGTACACAGGAGCGCAGGCTGAGAAGCACCGCGCGAGTGCAGGCTGAGAAGCCAGCGGGCCGGCTGAGCAGCACCGCCACAAAGCAGTCTGCGTTTCACGGTTCCTCAAGGTCGTG